TGCATCTTACATTTCAAGGCGGTTTATACCTTGGTATTGGTGTCTCTTCAACTAAAGGAGCCTTTTCCTGCATACCTCGCCTGTCAAATCCTTATCATCATCCGCAATGGGAGACTTTGCCCTTTGTTAGTGAGGCAAGTTACTTATTACCGCGCTTGCCTCCTTTGCCTTGACTGCGTGACTGTTTTAATTTTCTTAGCGGGGGATGCAAAATGGAGGTGCTTTCCTTCAAATCGGCAAATTCCCTCGCTGCCATACGTGACTCCTCCGTCTCTTCATTTTTTATCGCCTCGATAGAGGCTGTACTTGTTAACATTTTAGACTCATGCTGGATCAATTTGTTGCCATTGTTCGTGTTCCTCTTTTCTCCCTTTCCCAACGTTTCAGCGGTTGTGGTCTTCTCGGTGCGTGGATGGCGCACTGGCGTCTTAGTGTCCAGTGCTGTTGCGGGGGTACGTGCCGAAGAAGAAGAGCAAGAAGATGATGATCGATTGGCCGAAGTATTCCCAAAGTTGGTAATAGAAGCATTAATAGAAGTCTTCGGAGCAGTCACCGTTGCAGGAACACAGACTGCTGCTGCCGTTGTTGTTCTTGTTGCTGCTGGTGGGGAAGTTGCTGCAGATAGGGATGAGGACGATGCGGGAATGTCTTCCGGCATCCCAACAGGAGGGTCCAACAATTCCCTCTTCTTTCGAGCACGATTGCTCCCGCGGCCGGTTGTGGAGGAAGCAACTGTAGGGAAAGGAATACTCGCAGGTGCCGACTTGGCCACAGCCGTGCTTTTCCTTCTCTCCTCCAGTACGCCACACGCACTCTTGTCCTTGTTGGTGTTGCTTGTCGTCACGGCACAGCTTGTGCGTGCCCCCGCCGATGTGTTGAGTGAAGGTTCCTCCGTCCTTCGCCGCCGCCGCTGCTGTTCCTGTTCCTGTTGCTGCTTCAGTGCACGCTGTCGTCGACGCTGCAGCATGAGCGCAGGGTCCTCAATGTCCTGCAGAAGACGTCGCGGGCAGAGTCGCAAGGACTTCGCCGAGACCTCCGCTGGTGTCATGCCAACAACGGCGGAGAGAGTGCGGTCAAGAAAACGCCACTGGTCGGCATGTGTCTCGTACGAGGGCCACGGCCGCGCGTTCCATGGCAAAAAGACCGTTTCGCGTCCCACAAGACGCCGGCTGTTGGAGAATGAGGACGAAGAGGTGCGAAGTGGTAGCGTCAACCGCCACATTCCCCGCATGTAAATAACTCTCCTCCTTCACTTAACACAAAACACACACGCAAACACACACACGCAGAGTAAACGCAAGTGACCCCCCCACCACAACCAACACTTCTGACGCGCTGCGGGGGTGGTTGATACCCAGCCAAGAAATTATCCCCAATCTTGTCACTCACTGCACTTTGGACCACTTGGGGGGAGGGGAAACACAGCCGAGGACGATGCCTTCTTCACCCGCAAGCAGTAGACGCGCGCGAAAAAAGAAAGGCAAGAAAGAGTGTTCTCACCCCCCCTCTTTTTACTCCTTCTCCCCGAAGAAAAACAAACAAACAAAAACCAAAAAGAATCAAACTGCGACTGCACCCGGACGAGGGGCGCGGCAAAGCCAAAAATTATATGAAGCAAGGCAGGGGCGCCGAATCAACCGAGAGAGTCCCAAACGACGACGGAAACTACAGCAATAACAACAGACCGACGAGGCAAGGCAGACAGTTGCCAATCCACTGTGTGCGGCGGCGGCAGCCAATTAATTATTCCTAAAAGAGAAAAGAAAGAAAAAAAAAAAAGAAGAAAGAGAGGTGCCACTTTGAGCGGAATGAAGAAACTTATCCGGCCTTCCCTGTGCACATGTGTCGGCAAAGCCAAACAAACGAGGGCAAGCAAAAAGAAGTAAAAAAGGAAAAGAAAAAGAAAAGAAAAGGTGTGTATGTGAGCGTAAGTAAAACAAAAAAAAAAAAGGAAAGAAACGGTAAAAGACACAACGACAGAGACATGCGTACATGAAACGATGCCAAATAAGCACTCAAAAGCATGCCGTGCAGTTCTGGCCAGAGCCACCGCCATGGTCGTATGGGGTTGCGGCGCTGTAAACATCGCCATCCCATAAACGCACAAATAAAAAGAGGCCTAGAAACAATAATAATAATAATAAAACACAAAAAAAAAAGAAAGAAAGAAAGAAAAAAGGCCACAAATAACCAACATAAATATACACAAATATAACAACAACAACAACAACACGTTTCACGGACAGTCGTCATCCTCCCACAGGCGCATTCCGAGAGAGAGAGAGAGAGGGACAAAGGCAATGCGGGCACACATGCATACAATTTCAGCTCGATCCTCCTTCTACTGCTTCACTGGATGGGCGGGAAACACACTTCCCAACACCGTTTTTCTCTTCCTCCCCCCCCCTCGTCACCCTCAATTCAGATGGCAAACATCTACGCACACAATTAAAAAGCAAAAATAAGTGGATCAATATGTGTGTAGCCGCCCCCCTTCCCTCTCCCTTACACCACTTGTTCGCCGCTGTTAAGTACTTTTCTTTCCCTCCCCCCCTCTGGTTAAATGCGTGCCGCATGTTCCCCTTCTATTGTTAGACACCAACAGAAGGAGGGTCCACGCTTCCCCTCCCCTCCCCTCCCTTCCCATTCAGTCAGTCAGTCGTCGTGAACCTCCAAAGCAGCCGTTTCTTTCCTTCTTTTTCTGTTAAAATACACATCGATGTGCATGCACACACTTGAGAAAAAACAAACAAACAAACAACAAAAAAGAGGTTTCTGAATCCCACCTCCCCCAAAAAACAAAACAAAACAAAAAACAAAACAAAAAAAACCGTAAATTCACCACCACCACCACCACCCACAAGCACAAAATGCCAAGAAAATAGTAAAAGAAGAAAACCGTTTAAAAAACAAAACAAAAAAAAACAAACCAAAATGTCAAACAACACAACTTTAGAATTATATATTTATATATAAATATAAATATGGGAAAAAAAAACAACAACAACAAAAAAGGAACAAACAAGTTTAGAGCAAAATTCACACAAAGCAAAACCATAAATCGACGTATGGCGTAAAAAGGATAGGGAAAATCGCAAAATTTAATATATATATATATATATTATCTTGCAATTTTCCTTTTCCGTTTATTTTTTGTCCGCTCACAGTTTCCCATCACCACCTCTACACTTATCTTTCATTCCCCCGCATTCCACTGGAAAGAAACATGCATACTCAGACACACACCCACACACACATATCCACAATGATGATGCTCTGCCTCCAACCACTTTGCCACGCAAAAGCAGGCATATAACCCGCGTTTCTTCTTCTCTCTGTTAAATTGTGGCGTCCAAATCCTCGCAGACCTCCAATTCAACCCTCAGTCCAAGAATGGCACGCATCAACCGCTCACTAAGACCAACAAGATATCCCTTCGGGTACACAATCTCCAGCTCCACACCATTCTTCTTATTATTGGCGTTATGCGCAATCCTTGCATCAAAAGCCGCATCGTCTAGACGCTTGGCCGGTGATGACTTCAAAAGCGGCGTGCGCAACACCTGCCGCAAACGCGGGCGCCGGTCTTCAGACATTTTAGCGCTACTTTCACCATGCGAGGTGGTAAAGGAGACCGTGTCAAAGTCGCTTAGCCGCGTGGTGGCTTCAATTGATCGTATCGTCCGTTCATACATTCCCTCACATGTATCAGAGAAATCGACATCATCACCCATGCTACCGTGAGCGGTATTCCTGTTGACCTCGTCGTTTTTCTTACCAAGACCACTTGCGGTGGTGACTGCCCTCCTTGGCTCTGGAAAACGACACCAAAGTGTAAGGTTGTCAAGGAGGTTCAACACCTCACATGTGGAAATCGCCTTCTGTTGCTGTGGGGCTAGTAGAAGATCCGACAGGTACGAGATGGCGGCACTCTCGGGATCAGCTCGTCGGCCTTCAATCTTGTCTACATAAACGGCTAACCCGTCACCCATAGTCTTGTCGTCTTCCTCCTCCTTCTCCCGATTGTACGCAAGCATGGACTTCAGTAGAAAGAAAATACCTGCGCCCATGAGGAATGTAGGCGCCTCGTCAAGATTTGTGATAGTCGGAAAACATTGGTAGAGGAAGTCTTCCACGAATTCGTATGTTTCACGGCAATGCCGCTCAAAATCGGGATCATTAGGATCCAGCGACTTCTTTGGGTTCCAGATACGCGCAACAAAACCAAGATCCTTTGATGCCTCCTTCAACCATTCTCGCTCGGAGCGAACGCAGTAGCAGGCAAGAATCATACGATTTCTTTGTTCCACACGCTCGAGACGTGCCTCCTGTTCCTCCTTTGTCTTCAGCATTCGTTGTTTGTAGTCGTCATGCGGCGTATGACTAAAGATAAGTTTCCACGCATACTCCGCGGCAGCACTAAAAACCCGTCTTTGAAAAGCATGCGCAGTGCCCCAACGCTCAAACGGCCGTTGAAAGCCTTTTGCCACTGGCTGCTCATGCTTCATTTCATTCTCCTCCACAAAGCTCTTTACGCGGATGGAAAAGGGACACACGTGTTTGGTGCCTTCCCGGTTTATCATGGCGGCTTTCCGAGCAATGAGGCCGTGTCTAATCATGCGATACGGACGCAACTCCCACCGCATTTCACTTTCATCCTTCATTTTCTGTTGATGATGCGCGCCCCTTCCCTTTTCGTTCTTCTCACGGATTTCTTGACCCTCCTCCTGCTGTTTGGAAGGAACTTTATCTTCCTTTCCTTCTTTATCTCCTTCCTTCTTTTTCCCCTCTTTTTCTTGTGTTGTCCGCTGACGGCTACTGCTTCTGCCTCCCCCTTTATACTTCGCCTCTTCCGCAGCCTTCAAGAAGGCCAGCGCGGAAACCGGCTGTGTGGGATACGCATCACACAAGACACGAGTCATATAGAGAAGGGGTTTCGGCGCACGTAGTAGACGATGCAGGATACAGACGTTAAAGTTTTCCGTTTCTGGTTGATAACCCTCAATATCAAAGGTTGAAATGCCACTGGATTTAAGTTCTAACGGCGGAACCTTTGCGGTTACCCCATTCTCTGGTTGCGGCTCCAACTCTGGTGGCTGCTTTTCTATTGGCAACGCCTTATCCAACGGACTACTACTACTACAGGGGGGATGGATAATGGCGTCGGAAAAAGAGTTCGTGCCATCGGGGGTAGAACGTAGAAGGTTCCTGCGTCTCTCACGCGCCTGTTCGAACCGTTCTCGTAACTTCATCAGACGCGAACTCTTTTCATTGTTCCCATCGGTTCGGTTGTTTTCAGCCATTTTAGCGCCAAATTGAAGGGCCTTTGAGGCAGCACACCGCATCTGTGTCGCTTCACGCAGACGCCGTCGCGCTACGATTTTGGCAAACAAACGCTGAATTCGAAACGCCATGACATTTTCAATATGCCACTTCTGCTGCTGCCGCGCCTCTTTTTCTACTCGTTCCCGTCGCTGCTGCAGCATCCTTCGAGCCATACGTTGGCGCCAACAACACTGAATGCGGGTTGCCATCGCCACATCTGTATTAAACTCCGCTTTACAAACGGCACTTCGCTCCAATGATAATGATGCAACAGTCGACATCTGTAGCTGCTGCAGTTCATTTATCTGGCGTTTTTTCTCTTGCATGTGGCGGCGGAAAAACTGGCAAATAACTTCCGCCGGTTCCTTTTTATTCGTTTCATTATATTTAGACACATCCGATGCTAAACTGACACCGAGGGTTTTCCCCTGCGCAGCTTCTTCCTCTAATTTGTCTTCTGGACAAAAACCATAAAATTTGTTTGTAGTATTATGCTCTAGTTCAATCTTTGGCGGCGTTGAAATAAATAAATTAGCTCCTGAAGGCTGTTCATGTTGCGGTGTTAGTTCCGGTGTGAAATCTTTATTCCCTACACCTTTCTGTTTTGATTCCGTACGTATAATTTGCCTCTTAAAGGAGCCCCGTGCAACTCCCACACCTGCCAGCCCCTTGATGGCCCTCCATGTTTCTTCTGCCTCCTTTATATGCACTGCAAGAATAACTTCCGTGGCGCTCGACGTGCTACCAGTCTTCGATAAAGTTTTGCTCTTCTTATGCTTCACTGTTGTTGTTGTTGTTGTGGTGGTGGTGGTTGGTGTTTTTGTTATCATTGCCATCTTCCCCACGTTCTTCCTTTTCTGCGCTGCGTTAGGCGCGGATGTCGATTTGGTTCGCCGAACGGCAACCTTGCCGCCAGCTCTTCTTTTGGGAGGGGAATGAAATGAGAGACACTTTCTGCCGCCCCCCAACACCAGCTTCGGATTGCCAGTGGCATGCTTGTGAGAACAGCTGTTGCTATTGTTGCTGCCGGTGTGATCGTCAATATTGTTATCGTCGTCGTCCACCAACGACACCCAGTCCACCAGCGCAACGCCCACAAATGGCCCGCAAGTGTTCGCGTCTTCAGTGGTGGCAGAATTAGGCGGGGTGGTACGGCAGCTGTTGTCTGTGGCTCCTGAACCCACCAGATTGCATGAAGAAAAGCCCTGGCCGGTAACCCTCTTGGGCTGCTGCTGCTGCTGATGTTCCCTTTCAAAAGACAGGGGGTGGCCAGTTGTAGCTGACGACAGAAACAACGGCGTCTCCAGCATGGCCTCATCTGCAATTGTAACCGTTAATCCGTTTGTCAGGGCCTCGCGGACCCGCGAGCACACCTCATTTAGCTGCTGCACGATGCGGCTCTCCTCCTCGCGCAGGAAATTCAAATAGGCATAGGGAGGATCTTTTGTGGATGGAAAATTTATAGATTTCCTCGGAGATGCTACATCCTCCGTGCATGGCACGTTGAACAGTGAAGTCATATTTTCATTTTCCTTCATTCCTGGCGACTTCTTCTCCAACTGCTGCTGTCCGACGGCATTTGTCTCCAGTTCACAACCCACCAATCCCAACGGTCTCCGCACCTCACGGGAATATTCCCTCAGTCGTAACAAGAGAGCCACATTGCATCTTTGCAGGTCCTTTAGTCCATCTGTAAGCAAGTTCGCGTGTGATTCAAGTGCGTTCACGGCAACAAGTTTAGAACTGGTTTCCCCGGGATCGGAACAATTCTGGCAGAGTGCCAAGAACCGTCCCAGGGCATCTTCAACATCTTTTCTACGTTGTCTCAGTACGTCCATCTTCTGCTGATACGGTCGGAGGTGTTGGCAGTACACCACCATACGATCCAACATGGTGTCTTTACCCGCAGAATCCTTATCCATGTCGACAGCGGGTAATTCTCTAGGGTCGCGCGTGGCAACAGAATGCCCACATAAATTTGGAGTCACACCGCCTCCTTTCCCTTCTACAGCTCGCGGCCTTTTAGTGAGAGATGTTTTAGTTCCCACTTTTTTTGTTTGCCCGTGATCAAGGTAAACGCCCGCTGTTGCGGCTAACTTCTCGCGCTCCTTCGCATTAAACCTCACTTCAGCTGGAGACCCAACACCAATACATGTTGTACGGGACAAAGTCGCGGCCTTATTGACACCCTCTAATACTGCGTCAATCCACGCATCTTGTGGCGCTTGTCCCAATGCTTCGCACAACTCCTTATAGCTACGCACTGTGTCTTCAGCGGCCGTTCTAATTGCTTGCGGAAGTGCCTCTAGCACATGTTTCCGTCCTGTAACTGGCCGGGAGCCTTGTTTTACATCCAGCACAATGTTGCGACGTCCAACACCACGAGATCCTGATACCGGAGAGCTCGGCGTCGCCGTGCCAGAATCTGGAATAATGGGGTTTCTTTGATTAGTTTTTGCTGGTCGGTTCAGTGTGAAAAGCTTTCCTCTATCGTTACCATGATAAAATGCGCTCGTGATACGTTGGTGGTCCATCATGCCACGCAGTCCAGTTAGTGGATTCAGCGAAAGCAGTGGCGGTGAGGCCGCAAGCGAATGTTTTGTAAACGTGCGCGGTGGACGTGAAGGAGCGGGAGACGGATCGGATCGGTGCTCAATGATCTCCTTCTTTAACCGTGTGACACCGGGGCGTGTTTGCAACGGCGAGGCTGTCCGTCCCGGGACGGACGGTGGCCTCCTGCGGATGTGTGTGCCAGACGCCAGTCCTGTTGATTTCCACGCCGGCGGTGGCGGCGCCGACAGACTATTGTTGCGTGACATCGGCAACAGGCGCGATTTGGTGCGACCGCCAGCATTATTGGAATTTTGCTGAGCGCCTCCGTTCGATGAAAAGGCGCCACCCACACCGCAGGAGTTGTTGTTGGTGCTGCCGCCAGCGTTCGTTGTGTTTGGGGACTGAGGCCCCGTCAAAGCCGTTCGCCGCCGCCCGACTCTTAAGTCCATTTTTGCTTTTCTTCCTTTTTTCTTTTTTTTTTTTTTTCCCTTTCTGTCTTTTCCCCTTCGCCTTACGAGGGGGAAGGGTGCCGTCTGTGCAAGGGGAGTGTGATGATGATGGTGATTGCCTCTCCACCTCTACACGGCCACGTTTCCTCAACACACGTGCTCCAGACCGTTTCCCCTCTTTTATGATTTTTCCCTCCCCCCCTTTTTTCCCTTAAATTTGCTTTTTCCCTTCACTACGGAATAAACACCGCCAAAAACAACAACAACAAGAAAGAAGAAAAAAGAACTAAGTGGTGGCTGTATGACAACTGCCGTCAGCGTATGTGTAATGTTGTTGTTTGGGGGGGAAAGGCAAGGTGTGACGTGATTGCAAAAGGATCAGACGTGGAGTTGAGTGTCTTCTGCCACAGTAGGAATAGAAGGAACATGCCGTATTTTTTCTCCCCCCCTTCTCGGGTCAGAGCGCAAAGTCCGGGTCTGTCTGACGCACCCGCATCACGTGCCCTCGCAATTCACGCAGTGTCTCTTTTTGCTCCGGCGTCAATTGACTTCGTTCCTCCTCCGTAAATTCACGTGATGTCTCGCCGGCCTCCAGCTGCGCCACATACCCGTACCACGATTGGTAAAAAATGCGCGCATGCTTCTCAGTGGCATCCATGTGTCGCTGGAACTCCACCTGCACAAAGCGGTCACCAAACTCGCGTTGCACGGGGAGCAGGCGTGACCGGTGCAGTTTAAAGATGACGCGGTACAACTGACAGAATGCCCGACGCCACTGCTCACTCCGGAACGGCAACGCCTCCAACTGCGTCGGGTGTGGAAGCGGGGCCAAGTTAAGGTGGCCCCGAATCCCATGTGTGGAGCAGCAGGGGGAATAATTGGCCCCGCCGTCCGTGCGGCTGCTCCGCCCATCATTTCCACCAAAACTGCCGCCGCAGTGGTGGCTCCTACTCGAAATCGCGGTAGCCAAAGTGGCGGGCGCCTCAAAAAAGGATGGGATTCTACGCATTTCCAACACTCCTGACAATGCCGGCTATAAACGTGACTTCGCCACACAAAAAGCAATTAAAGTGCACCACCCACAACGCAGACGTGAATCACCAAAAAGAGAAGAGAAGAAACAACAAAACAAAACAAAACAGCGTCTCCTTAGAGAAATGGTGGAATGGAAATAAAAAGACCTCCACACCACCATCACCAGTAGCACAAACAACAACAAATGTTTTTTCTTTTTTTTTTTTGACATCGTTTCAATTTTACATAACATACAAGCTCCCCCTGTTACTTTTTCTCTGAGAGCCCTCTTGCCAAAAGTCATGTGGTCCCTTAACCCCCCCCCCCTTTTTTTTCCTCCACTTCTTTTACGGTGGCGATTCCCTCGTGTTGGAAGAAAAACCATCCAAAGTTTCCTCCAGTGGTGTCCGTGATTATTGTGCCGATATCGGTGAGTCTCCTTCCTCCGTTGACCTCTCTCCCTCTTTTTCTGTGGAGAGCATGTGATCCCAAAAGTTGGCACTTTTGTTCGCGGAAAAGAAGGCATTCCCCAGAGAGTTATTCTCACCACGATGAGAGGTGGAGAGCACCGCGAGCAAAGGTCTCTGCGCATCGGTGTGCATCTCAGCCAGAACAAGTCGTTGCGGTTGGCTCGGCGGAGTATACCCCTCATACACGTCAATCTGACTCTTCTTCCAAATCCGATAAACGTCACGTGCATTTTCCTGCCGTTGCTTTCGTAGAGTTGCGCGTTCGGCAATCACCCTGTGCAGTCTTTCCGCAATAATGTTAACTGTGCGCTGGACCGGTAAACCACTGAGCCGTGGGTCCATGCCGGCTTGTTGCATGGCTTCCGTAGAGCGCTCCGTTACTATGCGTTGGCGATACATCAAAGTTAGAATCGACATGTTTAATGCGGCAATATTCTTTCGGAGGGTCATATCCCGTGTGTACTTTTCCCGCACCCGCGTCCAAACTTCGGCTGAAGTGCAATTGTTCATGGCCAACAATGCACACAGGTTCCACAGAGTTTTACCCGGCAACGGTCGCTTTATGACAGGTGACACAAGATTCTTCATCACGTAATGATGTAACTCCAGGTAGATGCTGCTTAGTGCATTCATTTCTTCCCGCAAAAGCAACAACTGCTTCTCACCGTACCGTGCCTTAATCATACGGGCAAAAGGGTCTGCTGTGTTGCGTAACTTAAGTGGCCATGGGTGATAACCACGCTCATATTCTGTCGTTAACATGGGCAGTAAAAGGGACTGGGCGGATAAAATGACATCTCGCAATGCTGACTGTGTATTGAAAAGGGTATTGTTCTCCGTCAAGCTCGCATCCACTACATGCGTACGCCTGGCAATACTTTCCATTGACACGACGACAAACTGCCTAAGAGATTCCAAGTCCTCCTGGACGGCCCTACGGACACGTCGAAGCTCGTCTCGTAGCGTACTACACCTATCATTCCAAAAACCCTTTAGGAAGTGTACATCAGAAAAATTTTTCATATCTTTGATTTGTTGTTCCTTTAATGCAAGCAACACTGTTAGTTGCGTCCGACCAATTGAATAATTTTGCTTCGCCTGCCGCTGCATCTCCGCAAACTCCTTCTTTATATTCTTCTCACGGCGGTGTGGATCTTCTGCCATGAGATTGGCAATATTGCCCAAATTTGCATGGGCGCCTCGGGTGGCAACGCTCGGGATCAACTGGTCGTTCTCCACCGCCAGCAAAACGAGATCCAAAAGACTCTGAATCGCCGTAATGTCAATCGAGATCTGTTGGCCTCCAACCGTCGCAGCCGCACCCATTGCGACAACAGAGCCGTTGCCATCCTCATTTTCCTCCGTATGCGTGCTGCCACGGCCCACACCAATAACGGAGACATTTGGGTTGGTACGCCGAAAACTCTGCATTCCAGCGCCAATGGACACCGCCATGCTGGGAACCTCGTTTGGGCTAAAACGTGTCGTACTGAGGTTTGGAAGGCGTGTCCCCTCGCACGTCGATGCGCTCGTTGCGCTGCGTACTTCGGCATTCATGACAGTTGCGGCATGTGCAAGGGCCTGTTGCTGCTCCTTCAAGAGACTTTGGTAGTGGATCTGTTTCTGCTGCGCCGCGGAGAGTTGAGAGCGGAGAACGTTACACTCCTTGTAAAGTGTCTCCCGCAGGTATTGAATCACCTTCCGCTTTTGTGTCGTGTAGTCCAGTTCCTCATTCAATTGCTCCTGAAGCTCGCGAATTTCCCGTTTCCGTTCCTCAACTTCTACAAGAAGGGTTCTTGTGTACGCCTGCAACTGTTCATACTCCTCTCGATGTACAATGGATGTGCTATTCATATCGGTGAGGGTGCCCACAGAGAAGATTCGTGTCGCACGCTGCTTCCTTTCCGTGTCAGCGAGTGAGGTTCTTGCTGCCACAGTCGGTGTGTCCGCGTCCAATCCTGTCGCGGCAACATTGCTACCACCAGGAGCAGTAGAAGCAGCAGTAATAGAAGCGGTAGTAGAAGTAGTATTAGAACTCGTGTTTGTGGCGGAATCATCGGCAACTCTCCCCGAGAAAGCAGGCCCTTGTACCCGTTTTGTGTCGAGAGGGTTGTCACGCGCAAATGAATTTGGTGCCGTCTTCGTGAAGGAACTTCCGTTCCCCGAAAAGCGGAGATTGCCGCGAGACCCCGCACCAGCCGCCTTTCGAAGACGGAAACTCGTCTGCCGCTTCCTCGAGCTTTGAGCATACGTCGGGGGAATCACAATGGCAACTTCACCCAAAAGTGCTACCTTCCTTGATTCCTCGCTGGTAAGACAACTCGGAGTATCAAATGAGATGGAGATGCCCGTCTTCGTGGCGGTTGTTGTTTCTTGTGAGACGCCCAGTTCCGTTTGTTCTTCTTGCTGCTGCAGTGGTTGTTCACCACTGTGTGAAGGCATCGGGTTTAGAGGGTGTGTCCTGCTGTCAAAGAGGGAGGCCACAACATGGCCGTTTTTAGGTTCCTTTTCAAACCGTGCAGTCGGCAGCACCACCGGCTTTCGCCTAAACTCCTGATACATCTCCTGCAACTGCGCCGCTGTCGGTAGCCGTTCCCCTTCTCCTTGAAACTGTGAGTAGGACGGAATTTCCTTCAACAGGCGCTCCAACAACGCGCGGCTCTCAAAGACTAAGCAAAGGCAATTCTTCAACGACCCCGTCTCTGCAAGTCGTAGCTTCTCCGTCACGGTGGCGGTCACGTGCTCAACAACCAGTCGCAGTGTCTTGGGGCACGGTTGCTGCGACAGGAAAAAGGCGTCATCTTCCGCCTCATGCCCATCTTGAGCCAGCGCTGCCGATGGTGGAATGCCTCGTCCCAGCTGCTTGTGCCTTGAACTCCCACTTTTGGTTGTTGTGCCGGATGAAATTAATGATTGACCCAAGTTGAGGGGATCTTCCGAGTCCGATTCGTTCTTCTCTCGGCTTTTCTCCTCGTCTGTATCGTCAATGATCCCAAACTGCACAGCAAGAGGGGGGGCACCAATCTCCTGGTAATTTGCCTTTCTCTGCAGACGACGCATGACGCGTTGGTAGACATCATCCAGATGTGGATGCACGTCCTCCCGCAAGATTCCGGGTATATGTTTTGTATTTTTTAGCAAGGGGCTCGTCTCAGTGAAGCCCGTGAAATCTTTCCTAGCCCTCCCGGTGACGGGGCAAATTTCCCGCTTTAACTGGGCGTATGCACTGTCGCCCGTTGCTCGCTTCTGCAGCGCACGAGGCGGTGAATTCGGGAGAGTGACGGTGGCTCTGACTGTGTTTTGGTTATTCACAAGCACCCGTGCGCTCAGCATCTCCTCTTCCCCCCCTCCTACCACCCGTAGCGCCATCACACCTACTGGCAAGTCAAGGGGAAAAACAACAACAACAACAACAACAAGATGCACAAAACACAGTGTGGCATAACCACCTCAACAAACACAGCGTGGAGGAGAGGGGGCATTGCATAAAGCATACAGACATGTAGTAAACAAATATACAGACATGTGGGCAAATCGACGTACGGGCATCCATCATGCAAACGTAGCAAAAAGAAAAACAAAACAAAACAAAAAAAAAAAAGGAAAAAAAAAAAAAGGGAAACCCGGCAGTATTAAATAGGACGGAAAACAAAAACAAAAAACAAAAAACAAAAACAAAAACAGAAAGAAAGAGAAAGGGATAAAAATATGGCGTAATGCGGTGTCACACCATCAACGTGCGTGTATACATGCAGGCACACCAGAGCACATTCCACCCTTGCAAGTAGCTCGCAATGAATTATCCTCATTTCCCTCGTTTTTGCCCACGCCCCACCGACATTCCCACCCCCAACGACAAGCGACACCTCCAACGATGACATTATTCCCTTCTCCCCCGCAATTTACTCCACCCTCCCCCCACTCCCCGCCTTCCATTTTTGTTTCCTCACGTGCCGCCACGTCCTTTTTTTTTTTTTTCCCGTTTGTTTTTATTTATTAATCGTTTCGTACCCTCCAGTGAGACGGGCAGAGAGAAGGGGAAAGAAGAGGGGTTCGAGTTCGGGCATTAATAATGATGATTAAAAGAGAATCAGGCAAAACAACACCAGCAGTCACAATAATAATAATAATAATACCAAAGAAAACCACCACCAAACAAACAAGAAAAAAAACACCTGACAACTAAGCCGTCATGTGCCTGCAAATGAAGGAAAAAGCCTCTCCCCTCCCTTAATTGCATCGGATAAAAACAGACACACGCACATGTAGAAGGGAAAAGAAAAGTTAGCCTCCAGAAAAAAAAAAAAAGAAAAAAAAAAGAAGGGAAGACCAGTCAAAAAGAGCGGGGTACAAACATATCATCCCCCACAGACCTACAAACAAACAAACAAACAAACAAACAAAAAAAAAACGCATCTGCGAATGTGTTTGTGCATTAAATGCATGAATAAGTGTGTTCAATGATTCCTATATACGTGTGGCACGCACGTATTCGCACGGCCAAAAGGGTACCAAAAGAAACAAACAAACAAACAAACAAAAAAAAAAGGCACGCACACAAACAAAAAAACACTAATTTTATTTAAACTGCATCGGGCGAAAACGTCGTTGTGAGCCGGGATTGAGGCAGAGAAACAGAAGAAGAATTTTTTCTTTATCACATTTGCTACAGCTGAGTCCGATTCCAAAATGAGCGGTTTCAGTTACTTACTCCATCGAATGACTTTGCCGGAGACACGCACAACACGTCCAGATTGATGCGTGGGTGATGATGCCGTCGATTCCAGTGCAGACACCTCGGGAAGCTGGTGGGTGCTGATATTGTTGTGTGAATTCACCCTTTCGAAACGCTCGCTGCAAGCGTCACAGTCATTCTTGCGGAAAGAGCAGTTATCGACTGGATTTCGTGTGGAATAAACGTCCTGCAGGATCAAATGAGCGGTGATGCCACGTCCACCACCAAATATCACCTTCAGCGACAACCCACTCCCCGGTTTAAGCGACAGACGTGCCAAGAAGCCTTCCAACATGTCGATTGTGGAGGGGATTTCGTCGCCGTTTATTCCAATCAAGATATCGCCCACAGCGAGACGCGCCCAATAGGCAGGTGAAGCATGCCCCACGTCAACTACCTCAAGATGTAGTGAAGATCCGGGCGATCCCTCCCTGGCCTCTACAGCAAAGCCAAAACGCGGGATGTTGTACGCATGTGGTTCCCGCGGCGAATTTGGGAGGCGTTCCTGGAATATTGGCGGCGAAGAAGAAGAGTGGGCAAATGCAATGTGCCTCTCCGCATCTTCTGAGTCAAGGCCAAACTGAATCTCTTCTGTTTTGATCCCCAAGTTTGTGGAATGCTGGACGGATTCCAAAGGGAGGGACAAGCCAAACGGTAGCGGCGATGACCGTCGTGAACCAGAGGCCTTGGAAGTGCGCCCCACCGCCGTTTCATAGTTACAGTCACCACCGCCAGTTCGCAACGTGTCTTGTATACCCAGGGAGATGTTCCAATCATGTTCCACTGGATTTTCCAAGCATTCTCGCTGCGTAACGCTTCCTCCTCCTCCTCCATTTTTTTCGTGACGCCCGTATTTCCTTTTCCCCTCGTGAATAAACATCCGGTATTCAAGTAAACTTCGCGTTTCAGGCAAGGAATAAGAAGCCCCAAGCGAGGGTTGTGTGGTACGAGAAGCTCCCATTTGTAAAGCTGTGCAGTCACCACTTTTCGCAGCAAATAGGTTAGGGGGATGACAAGAAGACGCACGCCGTGTGTCATGGGATTGTGGTCGCATTTGCTCTTCGCCGTGTAATTCGGTTGAGAGGCGGCGGATATGTTTTTTCTGCATGGAGCAGAGCTCGACCGAGTCCCGCAGACCACGTTTCATCCCTTGCAACTCGTATATTACCTCATTTAAAATGTGCATCATACGTCTGAGAAGGGATCCATGCAGTTTCAACAATGTTTCCCGAAGTTCACGGTGGTATGTCGCACAAAGTTGGACAAACTGAGCCACCAAAGTATGACTCACTAGACCACTGGCAATTGTCATTCCTTTTCCATGTCGTTGAAACGCCATCGCGGTGTCATCTACACTTGTGGACACAACACCTTTATTGCGCCGCTCCATCGTCAATTGCAGGGCACGCATTCCATTAAAAGCCGTACGAACGGACTTTATAACGTTTTCTAACATATGATCATCCAGTATTTCTTCGGGACAGTGCATCTTGTACCTCTGTTTAGCCATAGGGGAATCATTTTCCTGCGGGATCAATAAATACTGTCCTTGCAGCGCATGTATCCAGTCAATATCTGGCAACAAGTCATGTATGAATTCTTCATGTAAGGAAGATGCTGCTGATGCATGGGAATGAAGGTGTGTTGATGGCATGCCACCCTCTTCACCCTTGTGTTCACCGCCCTGAGTGCATGGCTCTGCAGTAACGGCACGTCTTTTTTCCCCCTTTCCTGTACTGTGTTGAACGCTATTTGGTGGATGTTCTTCCTTCGACACCGTCTTGCATGTCCACTTTGTTATCTGCGAGGGATCACCATCCCTTGTGGGGGTGTCAAATAAACAATGCGCAATCTCAGGGTGTTGCTTGGCCGCCTTCACAATTTCTCGCCACTTGAGAAGCAAACCGCTAAGTAATCGGAGCAAAATCAATTGATTGTGCCTAATATTTGCGGGCGTTTTCTCAAAATCCGCCTTTTCCATGAGCCTTCTTCCTTCTCTCTCTCTCTCGCTCGTGTTCTCTCCAAAAAAAAAAAAAAAAAAAAAACAAAAAGAAAAAAACAAGTGTATGCAAACGATTATTTTTTTCGATCCTTGCTGTGTTGCTTATAATTACTTCTACCGTTCCTTGCCAAGGTGTGTGTGTGTGCGTGCGTGATGAAATGTTAGCCGCCGAATGACGGCAACTCTGCACCCCGCCCCCTTCCCTTGCCCTGTGCGTATGACCGCAGCCGAATAACCAACCAAATACACAGAGGGAGATGGAGAAGAGAAGAGAAGAGAAGGGCGGTCCGTAACGCAGCCGATCATTCACACACGCCCCCCCAAAAACAACAAAAAGAAGAAGACGTGTGTTTGTGTGCGTGTGTTTCAAAGACAACACACACACACACGCACACATACAAAACGTCTAAACGGTGAAATGCATTTCTGCACATACACGCCAGAAAAGAAAAGAGAAAAGAAAAGAAATAAACAAACAACAACAACAACAACAAAAAAGAAAGAGACAAACCAAAAAGTGGGTCTAGTGGTTTAAGACAAGTACAATCGCATTTTTTAACAACAAGGTTATGTACATACCAATGCACATGCATTGACAAGCCGTAAGCGAAGAGTGGGGATGGGGGGGGGGGGGGGGGGTAAAAACAATAAAAAAAAAAAAAAAAAAGGAAAATCCACGCAGACGATGCGCACTCCCAAACACATTTATACATAAAAATATATTTTTTCTCCTGTCACTTTCACCATTCCGTTCGGTGTTGCGGGTTTTGGTGCTCCGTTCATGTGACATCGCAAAAGGAAACAAAACAACAACAACAACAACAGGAGATTAAAACAAAAAAAAAAAGAAAAAAGAAAAAAAGAAAAAAGTACTGGCCATTTTATACATCGCTTCCATCTCCTGTTTTTTTTTTCTTTTTTTTTTTTTTTGCCCCTTCTTATTTCTCTTTGCCGGTGGTATCATTATTGTGTTTTATTTTTTCAGCGTTTTTCTTCTCGAGAAGAGGGGAGGGGGCATTCCCTCCCACGTACTTCCATCAATGCGTGAAAACAGGAGAAGCCACCCCTTCAACTCCCCCTCTTTTTTTTTTTTTTTTTTTTTTTTTCTCAACTCCTTACAGAAGTTTCCGCGCCTGTGACCAGTGCATCATTGCCTGCGGGGGATTGGCATCTCCAACGTCATAATTCCGACAGTACTGAAGGCGTGATGTTTCGAAAGGTAACGGCTTCTCCGGTAGCCGCGAGGACCACGGCACCGGCGTTTCATCGAATTGTAATTTACGCAAACCGACAGAGTCAAACCACGCCGCATCCCGCATTGCCGCAATCACCACCGGAGGAAGAAGCACCGACCGTTCTTCACCTTGAGGAGATGAGCACAAAGCCTGGACGGGGCTGTCATCCCCCGGTAATTGCGGCGTGTTAAATAATGAATCCGGTCCAGCAATTCCTCCTTCCCCACTCTCTGGTTTGTCGTTTTCCTCAGGCGCAGACATCAGTTGGCACGGTGGTCTGCCATCGCTGTTCATCACGGGCAAACGAATATTTTCCGAAAAGCCCAGCAGCACCCGGTCAGCGTGGTCTGTGAAGACAACTTGCTGGCGTTTTGAAGTTTGTTGCAATGTGCTGGAGGGCTCTATTCGTTCATCCCTAACAACTAAGCTCAATGGAGACGAATAGACATCTGTCATGTATCGCTTAAATCCCGTTCCATCCATGCGGTATCCTGTTGTTAGAGCCGATGCCGTTTCACTTTCAAGCGTCGCGGCGTGGCGGACCTGCTCGTCACTGAGGGCACGACGGAGATTCGCTGGGACGTCATTCCAATTCACCTTTCCCTTCGCCACTACACTACTGACTCCATCCATCACCTTTGACACTCGTTGACTATTCTTCGAGATGACGTCTTCAATGATGACGTGCTTCCGAAAAGGTTGAATACGCAGATCAGATACATGTAGGCTTCGCGCCAAATCAACGGATACTGTCCTTGAATTTTGAGATCTTGGTCTTCCTGGTGAGCTCGGGAAGAGACTGTGATCCGGAATGGAGTACCCCTCTTTAGTGAAGGCAGCCATGGCAAGCTCCTTCTGACTCACCCTCTTGAGTGAATTGAGTGAGCCTGTCCGCGTCTCCACCATACCGGGGTTGGGTCGCGGTGATTCTGCATCTCCAACACGCTTAAACCGAGATCCATCAGTGTATTCAAAAATATGGTTATATGTGAGAAATAGGGTGTCCTTTGGAGGGTCACGTGGGATGTAGCAACCCTTGCTTCGATGATTATAATAAAAGTAGTCCTCCCCCTTCCTGTCAAGGCCATTTCTCGGGTCACGACGCCGCATTTGTTGCTCATAACAAAGTTGAAGATACAATTCTCGATTCGTCAAGTACTTTTCACGCCTCCTAAAAGAATTCGTGGATGCCGCCTGCATGAACAATGCGGGGCTTCCCTTTCGTTTAGTGTCAAAAGAACTGTGCGTCATCGATTCGGTCCTTGGGCTCGCTTCACGGCTTAGTTGAATTGAGCAGCCGCGTATCCCATCCAGTGAGTTCTGGTCCACCCGCATCGAGCTCGTATTCCCTTCCTCCACTCGGGGTGGACGTGAGGATGCATTTTCACCGTGCAAAGTATTCGAACCCCCATCCGCAGCGGGGGTGGAAGTCACGGAGACGTTCACCGCCTCCTGCGTTCCTCTAATCTCCCTCTTCCCCACACCGGGTGCGTGCCTTTTCAGAGCGTGACCCAAGTGGCCAACACGGCCTCTAGGGACGCCATGAATAGTCGACACATCGTTCACCTGCATTTTCCCCCTTTCCCAGCCACACGCACACTGTCTATCTACTCTGCTTCCTCTTGTCCACAAAGAGAGACACGGATATGTGTTTTCGTGTCAATACGCCAAAATTCCCTCGATATCTTCCAGAAGAAGAAGAAGAGGAAAGAAAGAGAGAGGGAGAGAGGGAGAAAGAGGTGACACGAGAAAGCAATCCAGAAATAATAACAATGACAACTACAAAAAAAGAAAAAAAATAAAGGTGAGAGCATCTCTATTAACGACATCACACCAATGCAAAAACAGGCCGACACATCTTCCAGTCGTAGGAGATGTACAAAAGTGTCATTATAATGCATATCAAGAAAAAAAAAGAAAAAGAAAACATGAGAAAACAATTTCCTCATAGGTAATAGACATAATACATACTGCTGTTAGCATCCTCCTCCTTCTCAGCTACTAGTCTGGAGAATCTAAGCTCACGGCATCTAAAAGTTAAAAAGAAACTATACAAAATCAATAATAACTTGCCACTTTACGTGTGTGTGTGTGTGTTTGCGTGTGCGAGTAACGGTGACCCCACTCCAAATACTCATAGCTTGGGTAAAAGCTGCACAAGGCGGATATCTTCCAGCCGAGCCTGGGCTGCCTCTGCCTGTCGACGCATTTCACCAATTGTAGATCCTTTCCCCTTATCTGCAATTTTAATAGATGGACGGCGTGTGCCCAGGTACGCACCACGCATCCGACTGTCGTCAATAGATGGTGATGCAAACGCCAGACGGGAGAAGAACAAAGACTCATCTGGGGCAGAAGCCTCAGCATGACATCTCTCCCCCTCCAAATCTTGTAAGGCAGGGGCGGGAGAAGCATCCATTGGAGGACTAGCCGCAGCAGCCGGGTTGTCGTCCTGTGAAGGAAGGCGTGCACTGTCTGTAGGTACATAAAAGAAAACTAAATCTAGCGGGTGATGATCAGGCGGACGATTGACGTGTGCTTTCCCGACCTGCTGTCTAGCCGCCTCGCGCTCACGTTGCTCCAACGATTTCTTCAATTCCGGTCCGGGCATCGTCGGATTATATACACCGATGGCCCGGCGCTGCGGGAGAAGCGGAGCGTCCCCTGACATTATGGGAACCAATCGACGCAACGACGGTGACCATGGTTGCTCACTCCCACGCTGTTCCGCAAAGTGCCGTTTACCGCCTCGCTCGGAGTCCAACACGTAGTTGCTATTGTGAGTATCCCGTATGAGAAGCGTGTGCTGAATATGGTTGTTAATGTCTGCGGGTAAAACTGGACCGTGTCGACCCAATCCACACCCCGGCACGTGAAGATCCGTCGTGAGTGAACTCTTGTTGATCGGAAGCGGTGCATACTGTCTCCCCAGGCGCTTATGACGGCAGCCGGGATGATCGCCTGGAATCGTATTGTCGCCATACGGCGTTGGGTATGAAGAGTTACCAAAGGCAACGGAGATGTCTTCACGTCGCTGCGCCGCCATTCCTCCGTTTTTCTTTGAAAATGGTTAAAATGCCTACTCCTCGTCTTCCTCTTCCGCCGTGAAGCCACTAAAAAAAAAAAAAAAGAAAGGAAAAAAGAATCTTACATAAACAGAAAAACAAGGGTAAGAAAAGACTTAAATTTGCAAAGAATTGCACCAAACACATGCATATACACACACACACACAGAGAGAGAGAGAGAGAGGGAAGGAGAAAGATGTGAGGCTTTTTCCTTCTATCCTTGAAAGCAAAATAAAATAAAATAAAAATAATAATACTTCCAATGTTCATGTTGCATGCCCACAAATTTCCGTATGCATATCGCGTCCAACCTCGTGTTCATCCAAAGCATACTCTCTCTCTCTCCTCTCTCTCTCTCTCTCTCTCTCTCTTGATCCACAACATTTCTAGAATTCTCTCCTTATGGCCCTTCCGGCACAAACAAAAAACACATCCACCCAACATTCACACAAATACATGTAAGGGTGTGCACAACACCCTCCTTTCCCCCCCCCAACCACCAACACCCATCTATTCCCTTTGATATTCATTGCTAACTAGCTGCTACACTCAAGCTCACACAATCAAAATCCCATCTGACGCAAAGATGGGAACGCCAACATCTCACCGTGGCCAAACAAAGACGGCTTCGAACCCATGGCGCATTCCTTCACTTGTTTCAACTCTTCAGGTGTCACAGAACGAATTGCATCAATCACCTCCTCTGGTTTCATGTACTGTGTGGAGTTCTGCGCCATGGAAGTAAGGGGCAGACTTGTACCCAGGTAGTCACAGAGATCACGAACTGTTTCCAAATTACGGCTCATAAAATCGACAGCAGCGCGGTGTTTTGCCGCCTCCACAGCCGCTGCATTGTCAGTCTTAACGGATTGAATATCCCGCATGCCTGCTGTCACCATCTTGACAATATCCTGAGGTTCAGATCTTGCCGTAAAACCAATGAGACCTGCGCTCTGATACGGAAGGTAGAAAGAATGTATCCCATTGCTGGACCCACCAAATGCGCCACGAACAGTATCTTGGATAAGAACATTGTATAGCTGTTGATACACGAGGGCCGCGGCATACCGCTTAATTGAGGCCATTCCACGACCAAATGAGAGGTAACCAACCGCAACAATTGTTTCATTATCCATGTCCGGCTTAGTCCCCATTTCTTTGGCGCGATTTTCATGCTCATGTGCCTCACCGCCCGTGTATTGATTTTTCTCGGCGTTGATATCAAAGGCAGCCACACGGTTTTGTTTCTCAAACGCAGCATGATGAGGAGCGCTTTTGGAATGTGGATACGGTGTATTTTCATACTCAGCGATGAGTTCATCATGGTTAACATTCACACCGGCAATAATGACGCGTTCGGGTGTCACGTATTGGGAATAATGTTCCATCAGAATCTTGCTTGTGATGTTTCCATTGTTGTTTTCCGGCACGTGCCGTGGATTGCCGAGCGGCTCCCTGTGAAATGCAACTGTCTCCACTTTCTGCATGACGTACTCCTCGGGCTGCTGCCACTTCATTTCCTTCAGACTATTATCCACCGTGTCACGAAAGCGTTCAATGTCTGCCTCATGAAAGCGCGGGGCGGCAATGGCGGTGAAAATGGTGTCCTGCACAAGATTCAACGTGAAGGAATTCTTATCATTCTTTTTGCCCGTATTTTGGCTCTTCCACATGTCCGCGCGGGCGTCCAGGCGAATACCAATAAAGTGTTTGTCCTTCTCAAAGTGCGAAAATGCTGCCCCCGTGCTTCGAATCCCGCGGTCGAGCTGAAAAAGCGAGTTGTTGTAATTGCTTGTCGTCAGGGCAACGTGCATAAGGCCGTGCACACCCGGGCATCCCACAGGGTCGTACGCGGGCCCCGCAAGGATGTAGGCACCAACCGATACCATTGCTCCTTCGCGTTGTTGTGTAATAACGCGGGCACCGTTGTGCAGCTGCGACACCTTCACTTTCTGAGCTTCCAATGCCTTCGACGGTGCTGGTGGTGAAAAACGCACGACATTGCCCCATGGTTTTGTCAGAGGCGCCTGTCCAAACTTGTACTCCGATATAGCCCTCACCTGCAGGGCAACGGCATGGACATGGACACGGCGATACATTATTATTCCTGCTGCGCACCACTGAAGGCAAGACACACGCACACAGAGAGAGAGAGAGAGCTACGGGTCCCCTAATACAAGAAATTCTACAAAGAATGAATAGGAAAACAGGTGTGCACATAAGCAAGCAACATTACAAGAAATATGAATGCCTGTCACCAGATGAAAGCAAAAGTGCCACATATACGCATTTCCATTAGAAGGAGAAAGAGAAAAAAAGAGGAGGAAGAAGCGGCTTACCCACCCACACGGAAAAACCTACACAGTATACGTTGACAACGTCATGTGACACGCCGCGGAAGATACGCACACAAACCGCTACAAGAGCAGGATGGGTGGCAGCCCCACTGGCGGATGCACTTTCAGTGTGCCGCGAGGAATGAGAGGAAGAAGCGGCAGCGCCGTCGTGAATTTTAGAGGCCCCGATAAATCAATTTCTCCCTCCCTCGCACCGTACACGTGTACGCATATGTATGCGTTTCATTGAAAGGAAGAGAAGAGAAAATAAAAGGGATAAATTCATGCATCCGCATAACTCCCCACCCTCGCAAACAAGAGAGAAATATATAAGAAAAAGAAAAAGAAAAAAAAAGAAAGAAAAGAGCGGTATTAAATAATATCCCTATCATACTTCCAGTCCTCATCTGGTAGTTTTTCCCATCGAAAAATTGAATCCTTCACGTGTGCACCCTAAAGCCCTCTCCCCTCCCGCTGTGTACATAAATTATATGTCTTTTCTTTACTCCTGTCGTATTTACAAAAATAACCGGGTGGGACTTTACGGCCATCAACCTTCCTAGTGTTCCGTGTAGAGTGTGCCGCGGCCTATGCCAGGCACCGCAATGGGTGCGTGTCTCTGTGTTTGCCATAAGGAGGAGGGGAAGGGGTAGGAGGGGTGGGAGGAAGGGAAAGGAACATGTAAGGCTCATCTGCAGCAGGAGCATTCACTCAGACCGTAATCCCCAAGTCCATATGTGCGTGAAAGAACATTTGCGTCCTGTCCGTCTCTTCAATTCATTTTACGCTCCTCTTCCTGGTTTCTCGGATATAACGGGCAACTTCCGCACGGGCAGAGGGAAGAAGGAGAGGAAAGAAAAGAAAAAAAAAAAAAAAAAAGGAAGAGATCAAAGCGCAAGTTTGTCCTGACAGCCAAAAAGAAAAATTAAAAAAAAAAAGTTCTAGATATATACATGCATATATATGTATATGTAAGTGAGTGCCTCATTCATGCTTTAACTCATTGCTCTTGATTCGGGTTGTAATGTATGCGTACATAAAATCTCTTTTTTGTGGGTCTTGTTTTTTTTCTTTTCTTTTTTTTGATTGGAGTCATTTCCTCCTCACATGCCCTTCTAAACACCTGCCATCAATATTCTCGTGTTCAACTACGATTCTGTCATTCGCCATAAAATAAAAAAGTAAAAAATAAATATTTTATTTTATTTTATTTTATTTTATTTTTATATTCTGTTCTCATCCCTTCTCTCTTTTTATTTTTATTTTTATTTGGGTTTGCAAAAGTGTGTAAAAAAGAAAAAAAAAAAAAAGAAAGGAGTATGCGTCTTTTTCGCATGCATGCATGCATATGCACATACATATTATATTGGATTATTATATTACATTTATTTATAAATGGGTGGCCTGCGTGTGTGTGTGTATTTGTGTCTGTGTGGAAGAGAGTACGTGCGTGTATGCTTCACGGGTTATTTTCATTTCTTTTTCTTTTTTTTTCTTTTTTTTTTTTTGTTTGTTTGTGCCTCTTTCGTTCCTCATTCAAACGGATAATTATTTAAAAATAAACGCATGTCACCTCAAATCCGTCTTTTTTCTTTTCCTTTTCTTTTCCAATTGCGTGTTTTAAAAGCACTCGTTTGTGTTGTTTTTGTCCCCGCCTTTTCCCATTCTCTCCGTTCCCTTCGTTAACACAAGAGTCAGCCTCCCTCCTCTCCCTATTGTTCTCTCTCTAATACCGCCTAATGTATATATGTTTTGTGTGTGTCTGTGTGCGTGTGGTGCACACGTGTGTTTGTGTGTTTTGGGTGACTCTGTGCAAACACGTCTACGCCTCTTCCTCCTTCCCTCTGCAGTCTCGTGTTTTGGGTGCCGTTGACACAATGCATGCGCCACGATAATGTGGGACGCGTCTGTACCACTCCTGCCTGTAGACACACACACACACACGCACACACACGACAACAACAACGACAAATAGATGGGAAATGAGGGGGTGGAAACATGTATACTCACAAATGATGCTGTCAATATGTTCCTATGCCCCTTTCCCCCTTCCCTTTTTTATTTTATTTTTTAAATTACTATTGCGTGATTGTTGATAAAGTCGTATCTTTACTTTTTGGACTTCTTTCCCTTCGCGGTAGACTTTTTCGCCACTGGGGATCGTGCACGTTTGGTTCCGCCGGTCTTTCCCTTTGGATTCTTCTTGCCGCCGTCACCTTCTGCAACCTGGAGGGCGTCATCCGATGCCGGATGCGGCTGTTCCCCCTTCGCCGGTGTCTCCGTATTCTCCTCCTCGTTCTTCTCCACAGTTGCCCACTCTTCTTCCTCTTCTTCTGCTGCTACCACTACAGTCGGCTTGTCCGCAACATCAACCCCTTCCTTTTGACTCGTTGTCTCCGCCTCATCGGCCTCCACATTCTCCTTCCCTGCTGTCGTTACTGTTTGTGGCTGCTCGGTCATTTTCACTGCCTCTGCCGGCTCGTCCCTCGCATCATGCGTCTCCTGCGCCACACCCTCTTCCGTGGCTGATTCCACCGGCGGCAGAGGGTCGGGTGCCGTTGCCTCAACGGAGACTTTGACGCTTCCTTCGCGTTTTTCATGATCACAGTTTTCGCTGGCAGTTTCTGTCGTCTTCTTCACGGTATCCGCGTGCCTCGTGGAACTCTTTGACGATGACGCCGACGACGACACGGACGAAGAGGAGGAAGAAGAGGAAGACGCCTCGTCATCATCATCATCGTCTGTGACACCGATGTCGGCCGGGTTCAGCACTCGGCGTGACGAGAAGGGCGCCACCCGCCGCGGCACAACCGGCTTCTCCACGCGAGTTTTCTCAACCGTCTCGTTCTCGTGGCGCTCCTGCGGAAGCTCGCTGGATTTGTTGCCCTCACCCTTCATCTCACCGGCGTGAATGTCGTTGCTGCCCTCCTTGCTGTTACTCTTGTCGACAACCTCACTCTCATTCTTTTTCTTATTGTTGTCATTGTCTTCGTCGTCGGAGCTGCCAACATCAACACGCGCAACAGGCGGTTGGCTGTTCTGAGTGGATGCCAGCCCCTCAGCATCGGGTGTGCTGCCACCAGTACCCCCGCGTCGGCGCACCGCCTCCATCTTATCGCGCGAACGCTTCTCGCGGTCTTCCGCGGCTCGTGCGAGTCCCTCCCGCTCCTTTTCCAACACAAGTTCGCTAAGACGATGCCGCTCCTTCTTTGTCATGGACTTAAGCTCCACGTGCTTCCCGGCAATCAGCTGCCGCAGCTGTGTCTCCGTGTGGTGCCGGTGGAGGCAATTGCTGCGGGAACAGTAATTGTGGATTAAGAAGTGCGCACAGACCTGCTGTTCAAAAAGTTCCACGGGTTTGCTGTTCGCCACCTCTGAACCTTTGGTCTTGAGCATCAAAACAATACCCCCCTTGCAAAAGACATACCTCGGATTCTTTGTGGCAGGTGGTATCTCGTGCTCGCGAAGCCACACCGTGCAACGCGGTCCCGGCATTGTAGCGCACATCAACTTTTGCTGCGGGTTCATGTACATCTCGAGGATGTCAGGTGGGATGGGCGGAAGATTTGGTAACGCCTCCGGCTGATCACGCACAGGCGCCTGAAACGGACTATGGGAAAGTATGCCTCGGCCAACGCCAGCACCTCTGTGCCCCATAATGGGCGGCGACACCGTCCCCATGGCGTGTGGGAGGGGATATGTATTGGGTGGGGGCATCAACCCAGCACTGCGGCCTCCCATCGACATCATGGGGTTAAAGTAGTTGTTGTTGAACCCCGCTGAGGGGACGGAAGGCATCATACCGGCACTGTTCATCATCATATTTCCACCGGCAGGCAAATTCCCTGAGCCCATCATCGCACCGCGGTTGAAGGTCATCGGGGGCGGTTGCTGAAGTGGTGAGGCATGCGGCGGCATCGGCGAACGCTGTTGTTGTTGTTGTTGTTGTTGTTGAAGAAGCTGTAGCAGTAACGCCTGATTCAAGTTGGTGCCGGAAGCGTTAAAAGTGGGATTCTGTCGCATTCCTAACGCCTCCGCCATTCGCGAAATGCCCGTCATGAATTGCTGTGGCTGCTGCTGTTGCGCTGGCTGTGGCTGTTGCTGGGGTTGTTGTTGCTGTGGAATATTCTGAGACGGCGGAGGCGGTTTGTTGGCATCGTAGCATCGCTTCAGTAGGAAATCCTGATCCTCCATACAAACGCGGCGAAACTCATTGACGGCCGTAATGACATCCTCCGGTGTCTTTCCGCCTGGAATCATCGCTGCCGTGCTTGGGTCGTTGACAATTTGTATGGGCATGTCGAACAAGTAAAACGAGCGCGACAGTTCACGGGGAGAGGCAAAGTTGAGGATTTGCACCGGCTTCGTTTCACCCGGTGCGGGTGTGTGCCCGGGCACCCACAACGTGCGTCCTCCCGTGATGTAGAGGAAAATGCTGCTGCTCACGGCCATTCCCTACACGAACAAAGAAAAAAAAAGGGAAAAACGAAAAAAAAAAAGGTTTACACCGGCAGGGTACGCATTGCACAAATAACCCAAGAAGAAAGGGGTAAGGGACAGAGATAGAGAGAAACAGAGAATGTGGGAACACACATGCACACAGAGTGAGTGGAGGCGGGGGTACTTACGAAGAGGGAGAGAAAAAAAAAAAAAAAAGAGGGCACTGAAGCAGGACACACACACACACACACACATGCACACTCAATAATAATAATAATAATAAAGAAATGGAGGCATAAACTCATACACATACACACTGTCAGAGAGCACGATGCTTCCAAAGCATAAGGAAAAAAAAGAAAAAAAAGAAAAAAAAGAAATACCCCCTCCCCTCCCCTCCCGCTCCTTTCCCTTTCTCTTTTAGAAGACAAACGACAACAATAAGCAAACAACATTCATGCAGCCTTAAAAATCAAACCATTCCTCTTTGCATAAATTCTAAACCCCACACGTCCTTCGCTTTCATGTCCCACTAAATAAACATTCACACATATAATGTGTATGTGTAAATGTATCTACATACCCAACAGCGTTTATTATATAAATATGAATATGTTTCATTCTTCTTGTCTTTTCCCACTGTGCGGCTGTTTTCTTCAAAGGGTCCAAGCAAAAAAAAAAAAAAAAAAAGAAAAAAAGACAACAACAAAAAACAACAACAACAAAAATCCCATTTAAAACTCTTCTTTTTTTTTTTTTCCCTTATGCTTTCATCACAGCGCCAGAAGATAGGCATCATCGAGGTATTGCCTGGTCGTAACGTTGTATCCCCCATATAGCAAGATCATAGCATTCGGATTGTTTTGTGACGCCGGCAGCAGGACTCCACTAGGCATTGCACGTCCACGTGGAATTGAATGCATAGGTGCAACGGTTGTTTGTACTTGTCTCCACATGAGAGTTCTTAATGACAACTGAAAAATAGCAAACTGACGTTGCTCCTTGTATGATCCCATAACGTACATCTCATCCTGGTGCCGCAAGGCAATGTGTCCGGATTGGGGAATATCCGATAACATCAGGTTTTGTGTTCCGGCTGACGTTTGCAGGGAACGCCATTTGTATTCGACCGTGTCAAACTGATACAGTTTTGGTGACACATCCCTCCTTAAAGATGAGGCAGCAGCAATACTGCTCCAACGACCCTCACCAGCCCCGTCTCCTTCAACGTTTGTGCCAGCGGATGCACACATCCCTCCGTAAACCATGATGTAACGTCCCTTGTATTCCACAGCAGTGTGGTACGCAATGGGCGGGACGCTACACAACCATTCTTCTTCTTCTTCGTCTTCTCTACTCACCGCCGTTGCCGCGGCAGATACCGCTGCCCCTTCATACGGAAGCGATGACATTTCTTCCTCCTGTTGACGCCTTAGCGATTCAGACTGCTGTGGCCATGCCGCAGATGACCAAGTTAACTCCACTCGATTAATGTCAAAAACTCCCTCAAAAACCTCGGAAAAAATCCGTCGGCTCACTCCAAAGAGTTTCTTGCCGCCAATAAGGTAAAATCGATTACCCACTACCGTTACGGTGTGACCAGAGCGCGGTTCCACGGGCGTACCACGTACCTTCACCCGTATCCATGTGTTTCTTGTGATATGATAGAGCCACACGTCATTCAGGTGACTGTGCAGGTCGTTGCCGTAGAAAAGCAGCACATACCGATTATGTAAAACGATCATCGCGTGACCCGAACGGGGAGCAGGACATCCTCGACCGTCGTCTCCAGCACAGAAGGGTTGAACCAAATCATATCTGAGACGCTGCATTCTCACCGGGCGTGCATTTTCACCGTCCCCCACGATTCCTTCACTGCACTCCTCGTCCACACCGTCACTCTCCAGCCAAAGACGATATAAAGAGTCAAGAACCGCTTCGTTCTCCGCACACCCCCCAAATAGAAAGACATCGTCATTTGCCAACAGACATGTGGAAAAGCAACGGCCTTCAAGAGGAACAAATGAATTACTCTCGTGAGAAAGGGCTCCTCGCGCATACTCACCAAAATCTGCCGGGGCGATTTCACACTGTTGCCACTGAAATCGCGTTGTAACAACTTCGTTAACAAACTCGTTCAGACCGTAGTACTTTGCCTCATCCATCAGTCGCCTCCATTCAGTCAGGGGAAGTTGCGCAAGCCTGTTATATTCCGTACCGCCCGGTAAAGGGCCTGAGCCAAATTGTCCCGCTTCTATGATTCGTTGCTGCCGCTCACGCAGCAGGAAGAGAAGCTCACGGAATAGCCACGGATCACGGTCAAAGAAGATGTGTCCAAACTCATCCTTCTGCGCGTTGAAGCGCTCATCCTCCAGTAAATGAAAGATTGTCATCGAGAACTGAAGAAGAGTGGCCCGCTGCACATGAAAACGCATGCCCCCAATATTCAGCTTAAACTTCGGTGAAAAAGAAGAAGTGGCAACCATTTCGGCACGATGACGCAAAGATCGTTCGTGTTGCTCCATCCGCTGACGTTTCAATTGAAGTCGAGAGAATGCAGATTGACTGACACGAATATACGCCTTCGCGGAATTCTGCAGATGCTCAAATTGGTTGAGAAGAGTCTCCATGACAAGCTCGTCGTCGCCAGCGTCACCCCCGTCGTTCCCACCATTGGCGCTTTCTTCGTTCTCCTCGTTGATTCTGTTTTGCTGCTCTGCGACAAACGTATGCGTTTGAGGCTCCTTTGGCAACGGGCTTTCACTCACAAGTGGCAGCCCTTCGTCGCCCACCAATTCCGGCGTCTCGTAGAGTTTAGAGCTCATCTTTTACTTCCTCGCTTTCCCAACACACACGCTTTCCCTCTTTTCCCTTCGCTTTCTTCGACAGCTTGATGTTGCTACTCCCCGTGTGTGCTTCTGTGCAAATTAGGCAAATAAAAAAAGAAAAGGGGGGTGTATGCATCCCACAGAAAAACTTATGTTTCATTGCTGGGAAGAAGCGTTCCATTCTGTTCTTTGCGTATTAAAAAAAAAAAAAAAACCCTTCCTCCACCCATCCAAAAAGGAGGAAAAAACCGCGGCTGTGGCTGCAAAGCGGATTCACCAAAAAGAAACAGTCCGCACCTTGCCGTGTATCACCGATGCCCAACAACCTTCGGTCCAAATTCCCTCCTGAGGGGCGTGACGGTCCTTTGCAGACTACATCAAAACCCCCTTCTCTTCGTCATCCCCGTTCATTTTCTCCTACTTCTTTATCATCATCCATTTCATCGGCTAGATCCTGTTGTATCTTTTCCGCCACCTGCATTTGTATCTCCAGCCTTTTTTCATGCACCTCCATTTGACGCCTCTTCAGTTCCCTTTCCTCCTCCGCCACGGCATCCAGTTCCTTAAGTCGTGTCTCGCGTTGCATGCGTAATTGCATCTCAAATTCCATGACTTGCGCAACCGCCCCCCTTCCGCACCGCTGAAGCAGCTGCAACGTGTCCTTCATTGGAAGCTTCATAAATGTGAGGTGATTGAATTCGTAATAAATCCCCATCAGGGCATCAAGCTGCCGACGATGATAATTTGCCAGTTCCTGGTCGTTTGTCGTTCCACCCACCGAGGCACCCGAAGGAGCTGCGGCAAAGAAAGACGGTGCATTTGTTTCGTTCCCAGAGGACTGTTGAAGTGGAGGGCCGTCAGGCGCTGCAGAAGTCTCTGCAGCCTGACGTTCTTCAAACATTGTCCAAACGTCCTCGTCCCCCTCGGGCGGGTGAGAATCATTTAAATTCCTCTTCCTTTCAGGCCGCCCCTCCCGTGACACAGCCGATGCCTCTTCGCACTTCTTTTGCATTCGCTTTCGCGCCGCTTCTATTCCTTCCGGCGGGTACATGAGAATGGGGTTGCGTGCGACCATTGCGTGGAGACGAGACAGACCCTTCTCACCATAAATGACTTGTCTAAACCGCTCAATCCCGCGGATGTCACGGGGCCGCTTTTTCGCTGCCGCGGTGGGGACATTGACTCTGTCGCCATGCTGCTGCCTCTGCTCCTGACCGAAGCTGACAGCCTTCATTGTAGTTCCACTTCCTTGCGGGTCTATGCTGAATGGCGCGTGGGCCATGTTCTCTCTATGCTTGAACATTACACGCCTATGAATTCCCTTCTGCCGTTATTGAGCCTCCTCGTCGTCTCGGTCCCTCTCCTTTTATTCAAACAAGAAAGCACCGTTTACTCGCACTCTCCCATCCACCCACAAGAAGAAATGACAAGAGCCAAATACAGGGGAAAAAAAAAGACGAGGAGGGAAATCAGGTTGAAACGGAGTATACACACACACGCTGAAAGAAAAACACAAGCCTAAACGCAAACAGGCGCACATGTAACCCCGCAACTTCTACAGTTTGGTATTCCTTATCACAGTTCGAAGCGCTCAGCGGCTTTTTTACCACCAAATAAGTTCGCACGGAGCTGGCGGAAATTGAAGTCATCGCTTGGTGAACGGTCAGCCTTTGCGTAGTGATAAGGATCTTCTTCCCAACGCTCATAACGTCGCGCGTCGTTATAACCAGCATCATATGCCTCAAGCAGATCATCTTTTCGTGCAGTTCCACCAATGTTTGGTGCAAACGCAAGCCATACTTGACGCCAGAAGGGGAAATGCGTATTAGCGACAAAGCCATGCCTTCCAAAAAATATATTGTGCCGTGTTTGTTGCCTGTTATAACGATATCCCGCATAACCATGAATGTAGATGTGACGACAGTATTGGTCAAGTTCACTACTAAGCGACATCATTGTTCCCCGCACAACATTATCTGCGTCACGGAAAACCATCGGCTTTTCCGTATTTGGAGCTGTAGCCGCCATAATGCATTGCGCCAGATCGTTTACATCGTCCCACTGTGCAATGTGATGGCCAAAGTGAACATTCTCCTTCGTCTGTCTCATGTAACCTGGATCCTTGTTTGAGAAGCCAATAGTGAGAGCCAGACGTCCGTTCACAAGTTCCACCGCGTTGCGTGGAAGGAGTTTGTTGATGTACTCTGTGAATACCTCCACCCGTTTCTCCTCGTCGGTCACCAAAAATCGGTTGTCCACAATGGCATCACGAACCTTTTCAATATTGACGGCCCGCGGCCCGCAGGCAAGAGCCACGGCTGGGATGACGCCTGTCCCCGCCCCAAGCAAAAAAGAATGCGCCAAAAACTCTGCCTTTTCCTGCTGCAAAAACAGCGCCACACCAAGCGCATATGTAACAAGAAACCCGCAACCGCCAAAGCTCAATACCGCCTTGGGTGCTGGCTTCCCCACCTCTAGGAGAACAGGTGTTTTCGAGCGCACCTTCTTGGCCCATTCCTTCGGATCAGTCGGGGCCATTGTCTTTTCGGCTGCTGAATTCTTCTCCCTTCCTTTTTTTCTTTTCTTTTTGAACCTCTCACGTATGTATTTGTTTGTTTGTGTGTGTGTGTATGTGTTTCGTCTAAGCCCCTTCTTCTTCCGCAAATTGGGTGTCGCTACGCAACAGCGTATACCCAAAAAGTAATAAAAAGCAACAACAAAAAATAAGACACAGAAACCCTTGCACGTGCAGATATGTTGTACAGATCCACAGTCGTACCGAGAATATAAACAGGGTGGGGCTTATGTGGTTGTGTGAGTGCCTGCGTTAAGCAAAAGGAGGAGGTGGAGGAGAAACACATGCATGCCGCACGTGTGTATGCATGCGTGGTTCACCTGCTCGTCATCGCACTCCCACTCTCACTACTGCCCCACTTCTTTTTTCCTTTTTATATTTCTCACCTTCCTCTTGTACTCTTTTTTTTTCTTTTTCTTTCTTAAATTTACCCTCTCTTTCCATGGTGCTACGGCTCAAAGGAGGCCGCTTTAGACCGCATCTCTCGTGCTTTCACTCGACGAGGCTCCGTTCGTTTCACAGGTTTCTGCGCGAGAAGAGGATTCTCCTCATCGTCATCGACTCCAATGCTTGGACCCATCACAAGTGAACTGCTGATGTACGAAGTGGTGATGTTCGCATTCTTAATGGCGTCTGCCACCCGACGGTCCCGCACCACGGCGCGCACGTACGAACTGGAGGCTTTCCAAGGCTCAATCAAAGCGTCAGAGCACATGTTTGGCGCTGGTACAACAGAAGAGTCTCTTTTCTTTTGTTCCCCCATTGGAGGGTGTTGCGATTCTGCGTTGTGTTCCTCCCTACCCGTCTCCCCGGCGTGCACGCCCTGCGTCACTGCCGTGGAGAACATCGTGTCCACGTAATTGCCAAACATATCCATCATACGTCCCTCCTCATCAAACAAGTAGCGTCGACCCAGCCCTACTAAAAGACGCTCCCGGCGCCTTTGTTCCCTTTTCGCTAGCCATGATGCATGCGGCATCAAATAGTTGTAGCGAAGCCCGAGTTGTTTCGCCTTCTTCGCCGCCTTTCGCACAACAAGTTTCTCTGCAATAATATCGATGGGATGTGGGCCCTGTTGGTACCACTGCAGTTTCTTGTCCATAAGCTCATGCGGCCGGAACTCCTCTTGGTGCCGTTCCGCTTCCTGTTGCTCCTTTGAGATCGTTAAGTGCAGGAACTGTCGCACCTCCTTTCGTTTCATCCCGTCAATCTTCAGGCCACGCTGCCTCGCCTCCAACAACGTCCGTTCATGCTTGCTCAACTGCGCCATCGGATTACTGGACTGCCCCGCCCTTTGAAGTGCACCTTTTTTCCGCCTTTCATCGTCCTCACGCTGCCTCGCAAGTCGCGCCGCCTTCTTCTCCGCGGGGGACGCAAACAAATACGAGAAGTTGCATGCGTCGCCACGGCTGTTGGTCTCCGCCACCTCAAGATCCGCAGACTTTGGGAGGATGACGCCCCCGCCCTTTCGCAACTCCTTCATGTTGATGCCCGACATGAAACTCGACCACTCGCGACGCCAGGCATTCTCACCCTTCTCCACCTTCGCCGCGTACCGGCGTTTCGTCGTCGAGGAAGCCGCATCTATTGTTGCCATTTTTGCATCGAGGCCCACCCCCTCAATAATAATAAAAATAATAAACGACAAGAAAAACAACATTCATAAAGTTCTTTTTTTTTTT